ATGAAGTAAAATTAATATATGATGTTCAGCTAGTTACATCAAATCCTAGTGAATGGGAGTTTAGTTACTAGCAACCATTGAAACCACAAAAATTGATGAAGGATTGAAGAAGTGAAGGACTACAACTCCCTAAGGCATTCCCAACCACTAGGAGTCTTGTTAATAGTGTTTGCAATGATACCTCCAAATCCCTAGATCAATCCTATTAAAGACATTCTCTTTGTTGTATAGGTACAAGTGTTTACTAATTTTCGCTCAACCACCAAGTTGACTCATTGAGCTAGTAAATGCCTCTAACACTCTAAAGTTGTCTCGCTTAACTTAAGAAGGTTCGCTGAGCGAGCAGACTCCTCTATGACTCTTCCCAATGTGCAACTCTAGCTTAGTGACCAAATGGGCTTGTTAAGCTAGAGTTCAATTTCAACTCCCACTTTCCTAATTGATTATTGCATGTTGAGCTTGCACTTTCTTCATCTCCAAGATCTCTACAAAAAGGTTTCCCTTTGTGAGATTTAAGCTAAAATTCTTAAAAGTTATAATGAATTCCAAACTTAATGAATTCATAACAAAAAGAGGTTGATAACACTTGAAATAAAGAAAAATAAAAATAATTATTGTGATTTACACACTTGACATCGAGTAAATCACACAATTATCACCACCTTGTATATATTAAAATATAAAATAAATTACATATTTATTCCTTAGAATTTCAAGTATTATATTATCACTATCTTATTATATTAACTTAACATCGCTAAAGAATTATCATTGTAAATTTTTTAAATTAATTGATTATAAAAAATTATATTTTTAATTTAATTATTCATAAAAAATATAATTTTAATTAAAATATATTTTGAAACACTTTTAAGTTTATTTTCATTCATTCACTGAATTAAAAACTTGTAAAATATTTAATTAAATTTGAATTAGTTTATTAAAATAATAAATAAAATAAAAACTATAATTTAAATTAAATTATATATTATACTTTATATATATTTCAATATATATAGCATAAATTAACATATGTATATATATATATATATATATTAAATTCTAT